AATACCGGTATATAGAACATAGACAGCTGAACCCAACAACTGGGTTTGAAAAGGCCTTGCTGAGATAATCGTCATTCTTGACTTGTTCTTGTAAATTTATGTTCACTGCTAATTCGCAATGATTGGTTCCGAAAGATTTCAGCTACTTTTATAAATATGTAAATGTTTTTAATGTGCTGAAAATTATTTTACAAAATTGTGTAAATAACCATTTTTATTATATTTCTTGGGCAGATTTTTGTTTCCTAAACTGAGTCTATTGATTTCTTATTAAAAAACATTAACATGTTCTACAATATTGTTTAACATTTGTAAAAATATCTAGAAAATTCTTATCTTTTATGATAATTTCACATTGATATGCTTTAAATTTCATTTTATTTGACTCCTATATATCTAATATTGCTTAATTGAATTTTTTTCTCTTTTTAAAGTGGTCCACTTTATGTGGGAAATGTTTGTTAAAACTTTAAATAAAATTGTCAATTTCCTTTCTTAAAATTTGTGACAGTTTCGATTTCTTTCTCAATAAATAGCTGGTGATTTACTAAGACTAAGAGGCAAAAAGCGGGAAAGTAATGAAATATATTATGTCAGTAGCGAAATAAACACCATTGCAAACAGATGACTAACAAAGCAACTTGGCTCCACCCAGATACATAAAATCACTAACACTGCCTCTCATTTTACTCACCACAAACCAGAGTCAACTTAGGTGGCATCTAAATAATTAATTTCCATCTATCAAATTAGAGCTGACCAACCACAGACCATTTAAATAGCTTATTTACCTACTATGACTCACAATTGTCGAGAAAAGTCAACCCACTTGCATAGGAAGGGGGCTGTGGAGGGGGTGGTCCACACAGGGGCCACTTTTTTTTAAATTTATAATGAGGGGCGGCATTTTCGGCGAGCTGAAGAGTTTTTTTGTTTTTGTTTCTTTTTAAACTTAGACTCTAGTGGTAGTGGGTGGCACAACTTTCTAGTGAACATATCGCAACATAACCCCTGGTCCGCTCGTAACGTTTCCCAGATCTGCTCATTGTGAGGACACGTTACACATCACCCAACGCTTGGAAATTGGTCGCTCTCTGTTGTTGGGGGAATTCTATTACGTAGCCGAGTCTCTCGCTTCGCACCTTTTTTTGCCCATGCGCCGTTTCCCTGGTCTGGCCTGCTGATTACCAAAGTCATTCTCTGATACACTAAAGTAATACGTCGGCATAGCGAGAGCGACGTGGCCGCCACGGCTTTGCCATGTTTCTTGTTAGTTAGTAAGGCTGTGGGTAGCAATGCAGTCGCCGCGGCTTACCCGTGTATAGGTTTACTTTAAGCAGATTTCTGATCGCTAATGCTGCATAAACTTTATGGTTTGTGTCCCTTGCGGTGGCCGCGCAAATGAAAGCATGGCAAGTAAACCCACAATTCACCATAACACATCCAAACACAGGACTAGTGAACCAACTGACAAGTTAACACGTAGAAAAGTGAATACCGGTATATAGAACATAGACAGCTGAACCCAACAACTGGGTTTGAAAAGGCCTTGCTGAGATAATCGTCATTCTTGACTTGTTCTTGTAAATTTATGTTCACTGCTAATTCGCAATGATTGGTTCCGAAAGATTTCAGCTACTTTTATGAAGATGTAAATGTTTTTAATGTGCTTAAAATTATTTTACAAAATTGTGTAAATAACCATTTTTATTATATTTCTTGGGCAGATTTTTGTTTCCTAAACTGAGTCTATTTATTTCTTATTAAAAAAAACATTAACATGTTCTACAATATTGTTTAACATTTGTAAAAATATCTAGAAAGATCTGATCTTTTATGATAATTTCAAATTGATATGCTTTAAATTTCATTTTCTTTGACTCCTATATATCTAATATTGCTTAATTGAATTTTTTTATCTCTTTTTAAAGTGGTCTACTTAGGATTTTCCATTTATCTCTGACGTCAAATGTATTATGAGGAAAATTATTATTACCACGTGCTTCAAAATTTGAAAGTTTTTTTTCTATTAAATTCTCTACATAATGATTGATGTTTTTTTTTTATTACATGTCTCATAAACAAAATTCCGAAGTTTTTATTATTAATATTTTTATTAGGCTCGAGGCTAGTGGGTTGTTGGGAAAATGCATTCATTTATATTCTATCAATTATATTTATGTACTTAAATTGTTTTGTTTTTTTAATTAACGAGTGGAATGTGTTCATGTTGTATGCATCCAATGTTGTTCAAGTAACCTTTAACTTTAATTTTTTTTAATAAGCATTTGTCAGTGTCTTTTTCAGCTTTTATCGATGTAGCATTTTCATTTTTGTTCTGACGTCAATTGATGAATCAGGAGGAATAGTTTTGGAACTACATAATTGAAACTTTGCATGCTTATTTATATTGACATTCTCTAATTAATAATGGATGGTTTTTAAACAAATATCTCAAAGGAAAATTTTTCAGAATTTTTTTAATTTATATATATTTTTAAAAATTAGGTTCGTGTGTTATTTTTTTTTCTTCTATCTTTTCTGTCTTAGTTTTCTAATTGTTTTTTAATTCATGAATGATACATCTACATGGTTTATGCATCCTGTATCGTTCATGCAGACCTCTAATTTAAAAAAAACACAATTTTATACTTTTTTTCATTTTTCTCAATTTTGCATTTTCCGGATTTTTTAGGAACGCCAAATGAATTGGGAGGAAAAGTATTCTAGCTACAACCTTCAAACATTGCATGCTTCTTTTCATTGATATTATTTACACGATTCAAGAGGTGTTTTTTTTAATATATACCGGGTATATCCAACTAGAAAAGTTTTATAACATTTTTACATTTGTTACTCCTGAAGAGTTCTCGAATATTTATGTGACCCCAGATACATGCCATTTGTAACATTTCCAATAAATGCTGTGTAATAAGCTTTTTTCAAATTTTTGTCAATTTTTTTCTTAATGTTTATGCAAAGCTTCATCATGATATTGCAATAAACAAATTGTTTTATTCATTTTGCGTAAAAGTCAAAATTGGTATAACATTTTCAATTTTTTGCGATAAAAGTAAAAAAAAATAAATAAATAAACTTTTGTGGTTTTTTGTCTTTCTGTTTGTGTATGGTTTGTTTGTACTATTTTTTTTTTTAAATTAAGAAACATAGAAAAAACAGTTTGACCCATGGACCACCTTAATAAAGGATAACCGATCACACGTAAATTGTCCACACGTGTAACCAATCCAAGTGATACGGTGACTGATATTGGTTTTGATCAAGTGATTCACCGGAAGACCAGGAAAGAAACATTTTAAATAAAGTAAATTGAATGTCAAAATAACTATAACTTAACGTTGTCACTGTTCTTAAACACATTTAAGCAGCGACCACCAATTGATTTGTTTCTTTTTCTTTTCATTGTTTTACTGTGGATTTATTTGAACAAGAAGAAATACAGCGCGGAAGGCGAGTGTGAGGGGGGGGGGGAGGTGACACCATGAGTTACCACACCGGGAGACACCAACTCTAGCTACATCACTGTGTTCCATTCCTATCTCTAGTAACGACACATGTGACTTGTATAATCCTTCCCTGTCACCAAAACCACAGATAGCATTAATATACTACTTAGGGTAATTTGGCCACTGTTGAGATACACTCTACGGTGTTTGACATATTTTTTTGATGTAGAAATCGGGAAAACCAAATACTTTTTTCCTGTATACAGCAAGATGATTTAGCTCTTGTAGAAGTATAATAACCTGTAGCTAAACCTGGTGTGGTATAGAAATAGAAGGTTCAGTTGTTTTATCATCGCTGTTTTCAAAAACATTGCACTCAGTTCAGTGGTGTTGTAGAATACAAATTATTTTAACTTAGACAAGATGAATGTCACACAGAACTGGATTTAAATATAATCAGTTTTAAGGGCCTCCCAATGTACTGTACACAACACAAGAATGAGTTGACGTCCAACGTATTTTGTTTACATAAATTAATAAAACTTTTAAACAAACAGAAAGCTATTTTGACTTTGGGTTCGCCCAGAAGACAAATTAACAAAATGCGCGGACTGAAGCTTCCTGGCACGACTACAGCAGACGTTTCCGACGAACAATGGTGGTTTTAGGGTAGGTGATTCCAACTTTGAATGCAAAACATGTGGCGCGATAAGTATAAACATATTTTAGCGAACGTATCGGATGCAATGTCCCTCCCCCCCCCCCCACTCGTGGAGGACGTCCAGTGCCCCCCACTCCTGGAGCAAGTCAAGTGATGCCCTCCCACTCCTGGAGCAATACAAGTGCCCCCTCACAACTGGAGCAGTCAGGTGCCCCCCCCCCACACCTGGAGCAAGTCAAGCCCCCTTACCCCCAAGAAAAATCTGTACAACAGTAAACTGAAAATATATTTGATACAAAATAGACTAAATTATCACTTTTATAACCTTTAAGAAAGAATAGCAACTGGTGCATTAAACCGATTACAATTATTGGAACTTATGAAATATCGCTACACGATATATTGGACCATCCGTATTATTTAAGGTAAATCTTGTTGGAGTCTTTCATTATATAATTATAACTGTTCCAAAAATCTCCATCCTGCATTGTCTGATTTAGACCAAAGAGTTTAATAGCACAAAATAGGGCAAAGCTTTAAATTTTAATGGGACAGAAATTTAAAAAAAAAAAACACTCATTGTCAGTAGAAAACTTTCAGAATTGAATTTTTGAAATAAATAAAATAAGAATAAAGTTTAACACTTTAAGGCATTTTCTTTTTCTGTCAAAATTCAACCTTTGACCTCAAAAACCTTTTTTTAACCCCATCACCACCCTTTTTCACCCCCCCCCCCCCCCCCCCCAACTTTTTGAAGAATAATGCTTCAGAACAGTAATTAGTAATTGGAAACAAAATTAAATGAACATTAACTTTTTAAAAAATCTGCCGGAAAAAATCACCAAAGCTGTTATTGATCGATTTGTTTCGCCTTTAAATATTTTCTTTTATACAATCGCATTTTATTTTTCTAGGTACATTAAAAAGTTTTTACGGACTAATTATAGTAAAAAAAAAAAAATTATTTACGGTCAGCGACTGACAGGTTTGACGGTTTGACCAGTACTGTGTACTGTTTATCACTGACTGACGACTGACTAAGATAATAAAATAATATTTTATTATTCTTACTTATTAAGTAAGTATACTTAAAGTGAAAGTTGCGGTAAAAATGTAATAAATAATAATTTATTTAACTTTAGTATTTAGTTTAGAAAGGGCCATTCATAAATTTCAAAATGACCCCACGAATTTTATTTTGTCACGACTCATTGACCATTTCTGTACCCCCAATCTTCAAAATTCATATAATATAAATTATTCAAAAAATACAGAAAGAAATTCAATTAATGGTTAAAAGAAAAAAATAATAAATTATTTATTATTTATTATAACTTATTTTAGAGAGAGTCTATTAATATTTATTATAAATTATAATAAAATATAATATAATATAAAATCACTTACATTATACTTTATACATTAACAATAATTCACAAGTCTACTATTACTACTAAAACTTAATTTCAGGCAGGTCTCATGGATTCTCAAACCCGGTGTTAACAAAAAATATTGCAACTAATGAGAAACAAAATAATTTAGATGACCTTGTAACTAATGTACATAGACATTAGATACATGGGCAGCGCACAATCACAGGCCCCTAATGCAAAAGAAGTCCACAATTTTTAATTATTAAATTATATAATTTATTTTTAATTTCACAATTTTTCTCAAAAGGACAATTCAAAGTAAGATTAGCAAGTATTACTTACCCAGTGGCATAGCTATGGGAGTCGGGAGTGCAGACCACACCGTGTGACACAATGTCAGGGGTGACACCAAATTGAAAAATTGCATATTACAGAGCTCAAACTGCTCGGTCTAACCACATAAAAGGATTAACGATCACACATAAATTTTCCACACATGTTACATGTAAGCAATCAAAATACATGCTTTATTAAAAGGTTTTGGTTGAAATTGCTTTGAAAAGAATGGCAGGAGAACTATTTACAATCCACCATGGGACAGTCAAAGGTTGCTGATCTGGCTCTACTAACAATTTAACGTGATACGGTGAAGGATATTGATTTTGATACAGTAATTGACAGATTTTCAGCTTTGAAGACCAGGAAAGGAAACTTATAAATAAAGTAATAAGTTTAATAAGTAAAAGCAATGTAAAAATAACTATACGTTGTTACTGTTCTTAAATTTAAATATATTTAATTTACCTCCGGATCTAAAATTAATTTTTTTTGTTCTTGTCATTGTTATACAATGTACTTATTCTAACAAGTAGAAATCCATCTTGGAAGTCGGGGGGGGGGGGGGGGGACACCATGAGTTTACTGCACCTGGTGAAAAAAACCCTAGCTATGCCACTGTTTCCCTAACTTTCTAAATTTTAATGTAATTGGCTCCAATGTGACAGACCCATAAAATATGTCTTGAACTTAATAATGAAAGATTGCTTGCTAATCATGTAAATTTAAATTGGCATGTGAGAATCACTGTTAACACAAAGATATTTGAAAGTTTTATTGCGTTCTTATTCTTGTAACTGATAGAGCACAGAACCACCCCAAATTTTAGCTTTGAATCTTGAAAATTACTGATTAACAAATAAACTTTCTTGGAGGTGTCATTTGGAGTTGAAAAGGCAAAGATGAAGACATTGAAGATACATGCTCAAAAACTATATTTTATTGAGCAATGGCTCAAAAACATTCATATTAAATAATATTATTGATTAAAGCTGGGTGAGTTTTAAATTTAATAAATAGTTTGTCACAGTTTGAGAAGTGGTACCTGTTCACTAATACAGGACAACATAGTCTAACTCAGTATTGAGATACATATTAAACATATATTTTAATGATATATATATACATTGTCTTAAGGAATGGCATCTCCAACATTGCCCCAAGAGAAAGATGGAACCCAGTCTCCTCAAGAAAAGGATGTTCTAGCAAGTATAATCGGGCTTACTCAACTTACTTTGGATAAAGCTGATGCTGACAATTGGGAACTTAAAACAGAATATTATGTCAAACAGCAGAAAATGTGGCCCACCAGTGGGAGACATATTCTGGCTCATTATGATGCTGAGTCTGTAATTGTGTACCAGGCATTCAAGGCATCCATAGCTACATTTGCTGTGACAAATCAGAGGTTGGTGATTTAAAATTTGGAGATACTGGTAGTTAATAGTTTTAATAAAATATACTGACTTTTAATATTAAAATTATTGTTACAATCCCTTGTTACCTGATGTTTGTAACATTTGTTGAAATATAGTTTATAGGTCTCAATTTTTATTGGTTCTAGAAAAATAATCATTTTTAATTTTAATTTTCTTAAAAAATAAATTTTAACCAATCAAAACATAATTTTCATGGAAAATGTTGACAAATTAAATTAATAAAAGAGATTAATATTGAATGTAACAATCTGTAGATCAGAACTTTTTCATCAATATCATAATGTAAAAATTCCTCTTTCTCTCATGTCTGCTACTCATTTCAGTAATTTAAATGCGTCTCTAAGTTACTGACAGACATTTCTGTCATGTAAAGGAATGAATTAAAATCTGAATTATTTTGGCATTGATTTTGGCAGGTTCATTCACTTAAAAAGTTATTAACACTAACAAGTAGTGATTCTTATAAGTCAGCGTTTCCCAAACTTTTAAGTTTCAAGGACCGGTGTACTAGTTTCTAAACTGCACCAGGGACCGATGCCAGATTTATTAATTGCATTTTATTTCTATTTAAACATCAAAATTCATGCTCGCTGGACCGGTAACGTAAGGCTTGCGGACCGGTGCCAGTCCACCATTTGGGAATGCTGCTATAAGCAGTTTTAGTTTTTGAATAGCAATGCTGCTGGATAAGCAATAGCTGTTTGATTGATTTCTTCAGATATTGAAGTTTGTTTATGTCATTCATTTAATGTTGGAGAGAAATAACATGGTTACAGTAATAATCAAACTTGTTTGGGTTTTATTAAACTTTAGATTTGGAGGTTCCAGTTACAGTTTTGAACGGATGTCATGGATAAAAACAAGCTTCATGTGGATGATGTATCGCTGTGGGTGGGGACAAAAAACAAATCAAGAACGAGTGCTAGCAATTCGGGTTTCCAGAAAAGGGTTTGACGACATTCTCTCTAAAGCTTACACCATAAAAGTAATTATTGGAAATATATCAAAGTATTAATTTTTCAATGAAAAAGATGCAAGAAGGATAATCTTGGAATAGTCTTTTAGCCATATTTTAAATTGTAAATTATTTTAAAATCAGGATAAATAGCTTCTGCCCGAAACCGTTATGTTTTTCATACGAATCTCTAAATCATAAGTTTATTTTTGTATACTAAATTCTTTCTGATATTATATTTATCAACTTGTGGGTTTTTTCCCTTGTTTTATAATAAATTAATTTGGCATAAATTATAAATGCAAATGTTTATGTTCAAAATATTACTTTCTCACTAATGTTAACACATTTGTAGGCCTACTTTCTTCACAATTAAACGTTCTTTAAAAAGCATGACAAATTATAAACTGACATAATAATTAAAAAAACATATTGCAAGTTCACATCACTGTATAAGCAAAAAGTTAATCAGAGGAAACTAATGAGATAAAAAAGCAGGTTTCCTATATGGTTATTGTTTTACATGTAATGTAGTATGTATATACAGGAATAAAAATAATATCTATTTCATTAAAAAATCTACTTTAGAAACAAAAAGAAGAAGGATTAGAAACCAAAGACATCGAAGTACGTTTGCAGTGGGACCCTGACCATGATTCACAAGGAGAGAAATTAACCCGCAAAGCTATCCAATTAGGACTAAAGGGAAAGGTAAAATTTATGCATCTAAGCTGACATATATTATATGTAGGTTCTCTAAGAAATTTGGCAATGTGAAAAGCCTTAAGTTTTTGTTTTTTTTCATTCATGTTTAATAATTTAATTTCCATTCTATCTTCCAACAGACTTTGCTAAACTTTTCTGGACAATACATCTTGAACATTAAAGACATTACAGACTTTGTAAATGAACAATGCAGCACCCTCCAGAAGCATGGCCTTTCAAATCTGGTCACTCCACTGGAACAAATATATATTCCCAGTGATGAGAAAATAGTCCAGCACATTGATCTGGAATTTTATGAACAACCCACAATAACAGGCTAGAAAACATGAAATAGTATCTTAAAAATAATGTTTTCATTTGCATATAAATATTTTCATTGTGCTCAATAACATAAGAAAATGTTTAAATTTTGCCTTGTGAGACATGTTTCATCATTGAAAATCTAACCCTGCCGGTTTGATCAGTTTTAAAGAGACACCAGGGTAATTATTCTCATGCCCTTTTGATTTCAATAGGGAGCTGGGTCCCAGTTGTCAGCAATTAATAAAATGGTAAAATTTGTTCATGTATTTATCAATATATATATAATTCTTTATTTATGAAAGAATGGTGTATTTGTTATTTCAATCACATGCAAAATAAAACTCCAGATAACTGTGCTAAATGAGATTCTTTAAAAATAAATATTGCAAGTGTGTTTAGTGCGTAATGTTTTCTTTCGTTTTAAGCAAATAGTCTCAATTTAAATATGATATACTAAATGTGACGTGTCAAAGTGGATGCCACATTAGAATATAAATATTAATATAATATAGTTTAGGGGTATAAAAAAAAAGTGCTGTGGGGGAGGGGGGGGTGGGTGGTTTATTCTAAAGCACTTCTCTTGAATGCATGTTTTGTCAGGCAACTTCAGTAGATGGGAAGTTCATTCATATCTGCCGCCAGTTTGCCAGGCTAAACCTAGTGTCATAAGAATTCTTTTGTATATGTCAAATACATTCATAAACATGTCGTATGTTTTCAATTTATACTGTTATTTTTTATTAAAGATACATCATTCCAAACCAGATGGAAGAGTTATTAATAACTATGTTTTTCCCTTTAAATTCAACCTCTATTGTTAAAAAATCAGAAATATTGATAATAAATAAACCATAACAGCAATAAATTTAAAAAATAAAAAAATGTCTTTCATTTCATGGACCAAGTTCCTGAAATTATAATTTTTTTTTTCAAGAAAATCTGCAAAGTAAAAGCTTAAATGATATCATTTTTTGGCTTATTTTATTTAGTTGTGGGGTTTTTTTTTTCAAGAAGAGACCGGAAGATTGTTTAAAAAATCAATAAGTTATATAACAATTTCATATGCAATAACCTCTATGCTTATATTTATAGCTTGCAAATTGAAATGTAAAGAAATTGTCTCCTTTAGAGACCATCAAACAAATTAAACGTTTGACTCACAAATCTTTCTCATGACATTACAGGGTATATAGATTAAACTTTGAGAGCCATGCTCTTTTGTACTAAATGTTACAATTTCTGTATTTCAAATTATAGACTACAACTACAATCACCATTTACAAAAACAAGAAAATTATTAATTTTGTTAATTATTATAAAAATTTATTAGCAATTTATTTCATTTACAAAATTTGACCTCACACTTATAGCACATTGTTATATGTAATCGTTATATTTCATAATGAAGAAGACATTAATCTTTTGACTTAAGAGCCCCTGATGGAAAACTAGCATAAGAATTAAGGGGTAATTGAATGAGCTAGACATACAATTTTTTGTAAAGAATAGAGTCCCTAGGATTAAATCTTTTTTTTATGACAGAATTAACAATGGGAAAAAAAAGACTTAAAGGCAATAAAAGATGTGTTTAAGTATGGAGTCTATTAAATCCAGATCTTTCTTTTTTTCAAAGTTCAGTTGATTCCTAGACTGTTAGACATTGTTTTATCCATGACTGTTGGGCATTGTCTTATTTTAGCCCACACCATTTACCCTATTTCATATCTTCCTGTTATAGAACATTTATTTTTGATTGCACAGAAATATAATAGAAACAGGAACATTTCCTTAATGAATTTAAACTGGAAATATCGTATGGCCCTTATGGCATTAAAAAATGGAGGCAACTATCTGCAAACTGGCACTACCATAACTAGTGACACTAAATGATTCAGTGAGACTAAAGTAAGATATTGAGAGTTGATGGCGCAAGCAAACTATAGTGATATGTAAGGTTGATGGGTGGAGGATGGCAATTAGGTTTAAGAGGAGATCCTTAGAGATCCATTGCTATTATTTTTATTCAAATCATTCAACAATCCTTGCAATAAATAATCTTCCAAACATACAAAACGAATATTCAAATGAACACACAGCAAGTGAAAATTCCTTTAAACACAAACCAAATATATTAAAAACAGTAGATATAAGAAATACAACGCAATTTAAAAAAATTTAACTAATATTGAAGTCATTACATGGCAGCTCGCCGAAAGGCTTCGGTATTTTGTAACAGCAGTTTCTCCCTTTTCTATAGCACTTGAGGCTACCTGCATTCACAATCATCATAACTGTTTAAAAACAATGTAGGCCTACTGATAGTTCAGATCACAAATTCCTTTCTTCAATCCGCCTCATTATGTTGCTATAAGTGGATCTCCTAAACTAATTTCTTTTGTTCTATTTTAATTAAGATATCACTGTTTTTTGTTAGAAAAAAAAAAGGTCTCCGTATCATTCAAAGTAGTATTCTCAAAGGGAAATTAAAGAACAAAACATATTTAAAGTCGGTTTTACTAACAAATAATTGACAAATTAGGTCAAGCATGGCAGTGTTTAAAAAAAAAAGGCAGGTATTAATTGAACTATTAACTGGGCAGCATTGCCAGACGTACTAATTATATATAACACAACATGCGAGCCCCATGTGGCCTGCCAGTACCCACTTGGCAGCCAGCGTAGTAACGAAATATTCTTTATTACTATTTTCTTAATAACTGTCCGATCATCTTTCGGCCCACGCAAGCTTATCATTAAGTATTACGGCCCGCACAAGTTTTTCATAAAGTATTATGGCCTACTTTACATTTTGAGTTGTGCAGGCCTGATCTATAACAAAAAAGTTTATTTGAATTTAAGACTGTTTAATTGAAAAATGCCCTCCTCAACCCTCCTCATGCTACGAAGATTGCGTTCTAACTTTTATTATAAGGGTCCACTTCAGTACAATGAAATAAAAGGAGGGGCAACGCAAACCATTTAAATTAAAGCAGAAATAGTGTATTCCAGTCTGAGAGAGATATTTGCCTCCTCACACATATCGTAAATAATTCAAAAATTCATATTTGAGCATGAGCTAACAAAAAACTGTTAACTGTAGAAAATGTTGGGGAAAAAAAACAACAATATAAAACAACTAAAGTTCAATATAAGCAACAATAATTTATAAGCAACTTGAAGCCTTAGCTGCAGGGTCTTGAAGTCATATATTACTGGCTTACTTAAAAAGTCATGCATGCAAATTTAAAACCTGAGGATATATCTAGAAATATTGGAGTTAGTAGAGTCATTCATCTGTATTTTGGACAATATTGATGTGTGCAAACAACTTCACTATGGCAGCCAAAATATAATAATTTGTACGGTACATCTAAAGAAAATACATGATTAGCAGAAAGGTACATAATATTACTAACCTTTTGGATGATATGGAGAGAAATCGCTAGACATTATACACAAAGCAGTTCAGTTTAAGTTTAATATGTCACATTATAATTTTTTAAAAAAAGGACCATTAAATATTTTTATCATCACAAGGCACATGGTTTTAATTTGTTTTTGTTCTATAATAAAATAATAAAAAAAATTCTCCATTTATACTCCATTTGAAAACATAGAAAGTCACTAAGACTGAATTTTCAAATCATATAAAGCCTTTGCCTACTGTGTGTGATACATTAGCTGTGGAAACCTGCTGGTATATGCCATAAATTCAATACAGATGACATTAGGTCTTAAATTTGTAAGTTTGAGATTAGTCCTTCATAAAAAATGACTATGTCTGGTGGAATGGAATTTTAGGTAGCATTTTGAAAATGTATTAATTTTATTCGATTGGCAAGATGTATAAATACCACTATTTTCCAAAACTTTGAACTAATAACCCTTAAGATTACGTCATAAATACTTTTTTTATTGTAATCTTCTTTCCTTCCTTGTTTTCCCACTGAAACTAAGTGATGACTATTGGACCGTATACGGATATTTGATCTGTCGATCAATTTTCCGTCGACGAAATTTCTTTCAAACAAATTTCCAGTAACCCTAGTGGACAGTTAGCTCTGAAGTTGTTGATTGTTTTCACTATTAATTTTTGCATACACATTTATTCAAAGAATTTAGTCTGACAGAGTTTTCTTCATAAATCTTCCAGATCATATTTCTATAGGGAGAAAAGATTCTAGACTTAAAACTTGAAGTAAAAATGAACAATCTTTGATCAAACCACTTCCAGTGGATCTCGATCTGTTTCAGATACAAAAATATCTATAGAATTTCCTAAAGTGTTGATCAGTTTTTTGCACAAGTGCACCAGATATCCCCTCTCCGTGTTGCTGTGGTGACACAGAACAACATTGCAGCCCCGGTGGACAGCATCCAGCACTTCATGGTGGGACATCTCCCCCGTCACCAGCAGGTCACAGGCGACAGACTGAAGCACACTAGAACCAGACCCTGCACACACTGCTATGAACTGAATCTCTTCCTCCTCTTTGCCTATGAGTTAGTGTAAGGAGGAAACAACAAGGATTAGCTGTACATAAGCATTCAATCAGTAACTGTACATAAGCAATCAGTAACTTTACATAAGCAAACATTAAATTTCGAGTTCTAAAATTTTTTTAAATGAAATTACTTATACTTATAAACTCATGAGGAAAATTAACAAATTTCTTTTATTAAGTTTAACCCACTCCATTTCTGCCCCCATGTTTTTCCACTAGAAATTTTCAAAACATCTTAGAATTTCACCAAAAATACCTAAATTCTTTTACTTCTGGCAATCTCTTTGGTTTTAGACAACTTAACTTCCATTTCTAATATATTATGATCGCTTTCGACATGATAAGCCTTTGAATTTCCCATTCCTGCTCTTGTTTTGTCTGCCGAAGAAGGAGCTGTTGATAGCTGAACTTTTAATTTCCCTGTTTTTTTCCTTTCAAGCTTTCACATAGCTCTGTAAACATCTTGGCTAGTTGTTTATTATTAGGTACAGATACTCGTACAAGTCCTGAAAGATTTGCAACCTGCACTTGCAGACATTTTTTTGTACTGATCAATGCTTTATTGATGTGCAGCCTGCAAACTCTCTCTCTGTTACATACAGTATACAGTTCAAATAATAAATCAATTGTGAATCTGAACAGAAATAGTTTGGTTTCACTCTCACCTTGTGCCTTGGCTAAACTGACATATTGGATATTCAAGTGACTCTTGATCTTCTCTACAGCAACTGACAAAGGAATAGGGAGAGACAACTCAGCTTGTCTACCCATTCCTGTTGCATGTTTCGGTACCTGAAACCCATTAGATTAAATTGAAAAGGCATTATTTCGATGACCATTCAGACAGGAGATATAAACCATTAGTGCAAATAATATGACTGCCCTCTATTAATAAGACAAATTGTGCAGTTTAGTTTTCTATTACTTAACAGTGTTATATTAAGCATTGTTTCACATCCAAATAAAGTATTTTTAAAAAAGACTTGATAGTTTTTAAATGACCCAGATATTTTCTACACAAATAAACAACTTTGTTTTATTGAAGAGCAACTTATTAAAATAAGAAAGCTGGTATAAAAACTTCAGGGAACCAAATCTTAAGCCAGATTTTATTCATTGTAATGTAACTTCAGCCAACTTTCTTCTTATAAGTTATAATATAAGAATCTACAAATCTTTGACAAAATATTAATAAAATATGAGGCATAAACTTCTGATATTATTATTAAATTTGAGTAAACGTAATTGTCGAAATAAATAATAATAACGCATGAAGCAATATACTGATTTGCAAACAATTATTTTTTAGACTAAGATTCAAAGAATCGAGGTAATGTGATAGAAAAATTATAACAGAAATAAAGACCAGCACCAAACCTTAGATAGATGTTTCACACTGAAGTGTTCTTGTTGCTTGCTAGAAGTCAGTCCTTTTAGCATATCTGTCAGTTCTGACTTGTTACACTCCACTTGCAGTCTGCATGTTTCGCCGGCTGATGTACTGAAGGCAAAAACTCAAAAAAATTTACATCTTCAATTCTTTCCGATTAAATTTATGTTTTATATCTATATTTGAAAATTTAAAAAAATTATAATTTGTAACTACTGCAGTAGTTTAGCCGTAAAACACATTATAATTCTAATTTTTATAGGTAAAATATTTTTAAAAATTGTGAGTGTATTCATTAAAACTCATAATTTTTTTTTTTTTTTACATACTCTGCAAAATAACCCAAACAGTTAATCTAAAAATTATAAACCTTAAAAGCAACAACTCAGACTTGTTAAGACTTGACTCACGATCCAATTTTGACAGAATGGAAAACGAAAGCATCTTTATTTTTCCTGAGACGGGAGTCGGGTGAAAGTTGTGAGACTAGAACCTGATCTCTTATCTCTTTTAACTTTGATGGCTCAAAATCAACCTCCAAAACATGTGTCAGGCCTTCTGGGAACTCTTCATTAAAATCCACAGGCCTGACAGAATCCTTCTTGACCTCTACAGGAAGTAAGTATTTACTATCATAAATTTTTTCAAAATGAGAATGACATTTTAACATTAATCAAATTTTTTATAGCTGTTTCAAAAATTATCTTTACTGACAATTTTAATTTGGTTTATGGCTTTCGTAGAAAAAAAAAAAAGTAAAAGAAAGTAAAATACAATAATAAAGTCTAAAAGAAACAACTTAATAGAATGCTTGTGACGGCTATTCTGACTTAAAAAATTCAAACCAGTTGTAGAGGTTAACTAGAGCAGGTTACAACCGTTAGCTATATCTTGTTGCTTTAAGGGGAAACAACATCAAAATTCTCTCGCCCCCCCCCCCCCTAATTCCCCCAGGAAAACTATTGAGACTGGAGTGATATGTTTTTAATGTGTCTCTGGAGAGAGCTGAAAATAAAAATGGCACGCAATGATGTCAGTAACATGACAAGACTCTGGTAATCAGTGCGGAACAATTATATTTACCATGCTTACCAAAGGCTGATAAAAGCCAGTCATTGACACCCCCCTCTAGTGCATCATGAGATGTATGAGGTGAGAACAATGCGATTCGATTCTCAATGCATTCCACAACCAGCCTCTGTTTCCATGAGCTCTGTGTGAGACGCTTCAAAGGAGCAAATATTGGTGGATGGTATGAGATGATGAGATCCACTGTTTTATCTTTAGCCTCCTCCATAACAGCGGTTGTCAGATCATTGGTTAGCATGATCTTACTGATGTATTTGGGTGGTGATGGCTCTACTAAAAGTCCCACATTGTCCCAGCTGCCTGAACAGAATAAAATGTGGACGCAATGTTATGAGAATGATATATCTAAGAAAATTGAAGTTAGAAGTTTTAACTTGTGTGGACGTGGATTTTTTTCATCAAAGAATTACTTTTAGAAAGCTCTTTTAAAAAGTGATTTCACGAATTGATTTGGGTTCAATGTAACAAAGGTTTATAAGGCGGGATGGCTATTAGGGACCTAAAATTTTGATCTCTCAATGTCTTAAAGCATGCATTAATTTAGTGCTTTTCTCTAACAATAATCTAAACAGCCAGAAACCACAACACTGCCTGAATAAAATGATTTTACCTGCCAAAGAAAGTGGTGCTAGCTTTTTCAATTTGGCCACTACAACATCCAAGGAATTCATTCTTGTCCCAACTGATCTGCAACTGATATGTAAAAAGAAACAAATTTGGATCTTTTAAATCAACTCTTTAATCAACTTGCTTCAGGTGAGGACCATAATAATTTAGTATTTGTGCAATCGATATAGTGCCTCATTAGCACAAGAAGACTGCCAAAATAAGTAACATATTATGCAATCTTTAAACTAGGGTTCTTAAAGTTTCGCAGTGCAATCCAACCAACCCCCCCCCCCCCTTAATTTTGATTTCAAAACATTTCTGGCTCCCCATCTTGATTTTAAAAAAAATATTTCCAGCATCCTGGATAAAAAAAATCAAATATTTATGCAAATAAACCTGATTTTATGTCACTTCCCACACCCCAGACACTGCCTGCCACACCCTGAAGGGGTCCAGGGACCCCTGCTTTAGACTTTGCCTTGAGTTATTTAATACTTTATAGGGCCCGCCTAATAAAAAATTTTTAAAAATAAATTTATTATGATAATTTTAATTTTGAGGCCCAGGCCAAAGCTAAGTATAACTTTTGTTTTAATGGTTTATTAATTTATGCTTCCATTTCTTCTCAGTAATATCCGTGCCTGAGTTGGAGTAACTCAGTATCAGTAATAAGCAAATTTAAAGTAAGCTTACTTATTATTTTATTAGTATTAAGTAAAAGAAAGCATCATTAATTTTCATATAATAGTACCAAATCCTACCATTAATAAATTTTTTTTTTATTAGCCAGCTAGGCCTAGATCTAAATTTAAACTATTTTTATTTTATTTATTAGTCAAACTGAAGAATAGAAAAGAATCTAGAATGTGGCCACCCATTTGGCATTTATTTAGTTGTTCGGGGCGGAGTTCAGAAGAGTCAGTTGAGTATCAGCATGATGAATAATGATTTAATAATAAAAAAATATTTAATGAGTTGGTAGGCAAAAAGAAACTCAGGTTCAGGTACTCTTTCGTGGTCTAAAATTATTAAGACTAAGACTAGAGTAAAACAGTGGACACCGTGGTTAATAGAAACATACTAAAATTTATGTGTAAACCGACAATTCCACTTAAGAATTATTTTCTACCTCAATTTATAAATGTTTTTAAAATGCAAAAGAAAATGAAAGTTGTATGACTCCTGTAAAAGTGTTGCCTGTAAACGTTGATTGACTGACAACAGGATCACTGTTGACTTCCAGATAGCCATTTAAACTTTCAGATTTAAGTTCCGGGTTATCTTGGAAAGTTATCTCCAAAAGTGGCTGCATTTACTGCGGCGGTAAACTTAATACCCTAAACACTGCTAATACGTTAGATTTGGGGAAAAAAAGGGGGTGGGGGTGAGGTGGAGCGGTTTAAAAAAAAAAAAGATGAAACAGGTAATCTTATAATCTAATGAATTGTTCATGGAAATTTAATATAAAAAAGCCCAGTCCTAAAAAATACCCACCCCTCCAAAAAAAAAAAAAAAAATATCTGGAAATAGTTATTCACCGTATAGGCCTAAATATACTTAAAATATTAAACAAATTCTGAAAAAGAGGGAGAAGAAAATGAAAAAACGTATTACTTACATATATATAACTTCTAACTTCAAGGGGTAGGGGAATAGGCCTCAATATTTTGGAACCATTTATTAATTATGTCAAAATTTAAGGCAATTTTATCCCCCCCCGGGGGGTGGAATTTTTGATAGTTTGAAAATTCCTGAGGTGCCCAAAATTATGTTTTAAAAATTGGTTAACAACACCCCCCCCCCACCAATTTAAGAAAATATAAATAAATACATAAGGACATTTGTCAAAACGATGGTAGCATAGAACCTCAAGTGAAACAAAGTGTTACAAATTAATGACTTGCTTGAATAGGTTAACATATTTTTAAGGTTATTTACATTAAAGACTTACGTATTTTAATCATGCTTTATAATATATATATATATTTTTTAGTAGCTTTCAAGGTACAGTTGACTGTAGTTTTTGAGAATTCTGCAATCACACAACAGAACTAAATATACCCCATTAATTGATAGACTGTTGTGACAGAGAAGCAGTTGAGGAAAAAAACCTCCCCCAAGGTATGATAAATTATTTTCATTTTTGTTAAAAATGTTAAGATTTCTTTGTGTTTTGAACATTACAAAAGTAAATAAATAAACAATTTTTTTAAATTGATCTTCATTAAAATATATTGGGAACTCTCAAAACAAATTGGGAAAGACTAGCTTTGTGGAGAAAGGGCATCACTGACTCCTTTGTTTTTTTATCATTATTATTTATCTGATTTATGTTGGCATCTAGATTTTGCAGTCTGTATTAAGATTTTTAAAAGAAGCAAAGAAGAAAATAAAATTGTTTACTTCTGCATTCAGATAATTTCTAAAGCTAATATATGCATGTGAGCTGACCTCTAAAAGGCATTTGATAGTTTGGAAAGAGATACACTCTGGAAACTAGTAAGACATGGTATTCCTCAAAATCTAACTGGCTTAATTAAGAAAACGTTTAAAGACTTCAGGGTGAGCAAGAAGGTGAACTCAAAAAACCCATTTATTATGGAGTCTTGAGTCCGATAGTGATCTCTGCTCTCACCATTCCTCTTTCTTTTACCCATTGACTGGATCACGAGAAAAACACAGGATGGCGAAAATGGAATCCAGTGGATACATTTCATACATTTGGATTTTGCAGATGATATTGCACTTTTATCACATTGTCATAAAAACAACAAAACTTGACTCAATATCGCAGCAAGATGGACTCAGCATAAATAAAGAGAAAACCAAGACCTTAAGAATAAATGCAGTGGATGATTTGGTCATTAGGATTAACTTGGGAGGAGCGTCTCTTGAAGAAGTTGAAACTTTTACATACCGGGGAAGCATCATAAATAAAATGGTGGGAAAGATGACATAAAGTCTAGGGTCCAAAAAGTCAGAGGAGCATTCAATGCCCTGCGAAACACCTGGAACTCAAGTGAAATACTGACAAAAACAAATTTAACAAAAATATTCAGCTCAAATGTCAAGGTACGGCTATGAAACTTGGAGAAAAAAAACAAACATTAAAAAAATGCAGGTTTTTATAAACAGATGCTTGTCAAGGATCCTCAAAAAAGATGGTTTGACAAAATTTGTAACACTGTCCTTTGGGCGGAGAACATCAAGTGTTCCAGTGGAAACGGAGATACAAAAGAGAAAATGGAGATGGATACGGGCACACATTAAGGAAACCAAATACTAACATCTCAGGATACGCCCTGAATTTGGAATCCCCAAGGAACCAGGAAAAGAGGAAGACCAAGAGCCACATGGAAGAGGGTATAAGCGGCAGAGGTAAAGAGAATGAAGAACATTTGGGCTGAACAAGCTAGGACAGGGACAGATGGAAAGGTATTGTGGATGACCTATGGCATTAGGCTGAACTAGCAAAGATAGCCCAGGACAGGGATTGTGGATTATGCTCCGTTGTGAGTATAATGCGTGAGAGCACCAGGACTTATAAGGTCATTGGTTACATATTGCTTGAGTAGATTACTAAGCTTAATGTGAGCATGACAAGGTCATTGTTTACAACATATTGCTTGAGTAGATTAAGCTTAATGTCATCATGACAAGGTCATTGTTTAAAACATATTGCTTGAGTAGATTAAGCTTAATGTCATCATGACAAGGTCATTGGTTACAACATATTGCTTGAGTAGATTAAGCTTAATGTCATCATGACAAGGTCATTGGTTACAACATATTGCTTGAGTAGAGTAAGCTTAATGTCATCATGACAAGGTCATTGGTTATAACATATTGCTTGAGTAGATTACTAAGTTCAATGTCAGCGCAACATAATTTTGTACCGTAGTAGGAGGACACAACTGGTCTTGTTAACAAAAGTAAATTTCTTATTTGCTGCTCATGTTCTGGGTACTCTCCCCTCATTCCAATTCTCCATCTTTCACAGACCTTGCCTCGGGTCCTCCTGTAAGGACTCGTACACGTATTCATACCCACAGAGCTGGTAAGCTTTAATTCACAAGACATGCAGTCTCTTTCATGAGCTAGAAAAGTTGTCTAATGGAATGCAAACTCATTATAAATCTACTGTTTCCCAGCACTTTTTTTGGATGCTTATTGCATGGCGAATTTTTTTTAAGTGCAATCAAATACACTGAATTTTGTGTCAATATTTGAAAGACATAATAAAATAGAATTATTTTTATTTTCTGCTGAAGCAAAAAAAATAATTCTTTAATAAAAACATAAAAACAGATTTTTATCCAGTGATTCGGCATCTTTCGAGATGCATGGCTGCAATAGGATTGAACTCAGACAAGTACAGAGATCCACTTTCTGTGATGGCAGAGCTGTGTAGCATAAAGACTACCAACCTATTTGTAACTTGGTATGTCATTTAAAAAAAATCTTAACTGATTTTCTTGCAATAATTAAAAGTTTATTATTTTAATGTAAGATTTTGAGATGTCTTTTAAAATTGTTGGCCCAGACCTGTCAGAACTACAATGTTAAAAACACGGGGTTGAAAAATGTATATTCCTGTAGTTTTTCTGAGCTGAAATTTTTTTTTCTTTCTGTTCTTAAAATTTTTAAAATTATTCTTTTTAAACTTATTAAAATTATTCAATAATATTTAGAGATTCAATAATAAAAATCACATCGTAATTGACAGTGATAATAGCCATTTCTGGCTTCTCTATCGAATAAAATAAAATATTAATTTGGGGACATTGTCATAACCCCCCCCCCTCCCTAGTGGGATGCTTAACTTTACTATCATATAAAAGTGATTGAATTTTCGTTTTATTTTTAAAATTATTCTTTTTAAAATTATTAAAATTATTTAATAATATTTAGAGATTCAATAATAAAAATCACAACGTAATTGAAAGTGATTATAGCCATTTCTGGCTTCTCTATCGAATAAAATAAAATATTAATTTGGGGACATTGTCATAACCCCCCCCCCCCTCCCTAGTGGGATGCTTAACTTTACTATCATATAAGAGTGATTGAATTTTCGTTTGTGGAGGGTTTTCCACATTACTAAAAAATAAATGATTTGTATAATGACATCCAGGTCAAGGGAAACTAAATTTCCACTAGCGTCTTTTTCTGTTGCTCACATATGCGCCAAAATGCTTCCCTGCAATTAGAAATGTATCAAATTTTATGAGAAGCGGCTCACTAAATAGCCTTTCAAGACATCACTCTTTTGAACTTTAAAATAGTTTTTAAAATATAACATTTTATTAAAATATGACGTAAAAACCTTCCCATTTAAATGTTCTCTTTGAGTTGAGTTTATTTACCAACAGCAGACTGCGCGGGGCAGCGGGCGATCCTCGGATCTAGAGATGAATTGTTACTCGCCAGCACGTGGGTCAGGACGTCGAAGAGCGCCGGGTCTCGCGCCCTGAGGTGATCCCTGGCCAGGCGCACGGAGGGACACACGGCCGCACCGCACCGGTTCATCCCGCCCGTGCTGGCGCCGTCCTCCAGCGTCACGCCGAAGAAAGCCGCAGTGGCCGCCGCCCAGTACTCCCTTTCGTTGGCCATGGCGTAGGAGGTGAGGCCCCAGGTGGCGTGCCGTCGGGCGGAGTCGTAGGCGCTGGCGATCTGGGCTCTGACGGCGGGGGTGACGGCGTAGTTGTAAACCAGGTGGGCGAACTCGTGGACCAGGACGTTGAGGGCGCCGCGGTGGGGGTCGGCGCGGGCGCACAGGACGGCGTCGTCCAGCACAACTGACCGCGAGTTGGTCAGACCGTCCATATCCTCGTACTTCCGCCCGTCGAAGGAGCAGGTGCGGGAGCAGCGTCCTTGGTAACAGAATGACGAAACAAACTTTTAATGAAAGGAAATAATTTTTAAAAAAATAATGTTTTTTTTTTAAAAAGTAAAAAAATCAATAACTGTGACTAAAACAAATTCTGAAAAATAAAATGATAGACGGCATTCATACCTGCAAAAGACTGACTCAAGAGTCAAAGAGAAAAAGACACGAGAAATGATTAATAATTTTTAAAAAAGGTATAGAAATATGTTTGTTTGGAATACTTGATTCATAATCTATTATTTGAAATGATAAAAGATCACCATAAAAGTATTTGGACCCTGTGGCGAATAGAATGCGGAGAGTCAAAGAAATGCGATGGATTGTCGCAATGATGATACACAGGTGGCAGTGTGGAAGCGCACACAATTTATTAATAACTGGAAGTACATATTGAAAAATTTACAAAAGGCAAATGCGTGAAAAAAAAAACAAGATAGACCCTCTGATGTATGTTTGAATAGCTTGATGAGTTCATGGGTGAATCAAGTAATGGTTGGATGTCACCATGGATCAATAGTATACTGAGACTCAATGGGACCATTGACACCCTAGGGAAACCTCGTTGGGCAAAACCATATAGGCGTATTAAGGGGCTTAGGAAGTGGCTTCGGAGGGGTGGTCACCCCTTGGTGGCACTTTTTGTATTTTATTTGTAAGGGCTGAATTTTTGTTCAACTATAGAGTTTTTTTTTTCAAGAAAGTTTTTTTTTTTTAAAACAACTTGGCCCACTATGCCGCTGTGCAGTTGTAAATCCGATGGGGCACGCCCTGCTGTAGGGTCTCCGGTTCAAAAGGTTGAAACACTCACCCAGACACGACGTCACACAGTCACCGCTGGCCAGACTTTGCATTTCCGGGTAAACGGTCAGTTTCTCGGCGGATGTGAAGATACCGACGGACCCCCTGGTCAGGTCTCGGAACATGCTCGCGGGCATGTGCTCGCTCATCCGCTGGACGACGTCGGCGGCCACACGGAGGGCACGCCGTGAGCACTGGGGCGAGGCGGCGATCTCCAGCTGTCGGTGACCAGTGCTCCGGGTGGCCGTGAGCCGGCGGTCGGGGTCCAGGTAGACGTATTGGAATCCAGGCAGACGTCTTTCGGACGTCACGGTTGGCAGGGTTTCTATGAAATGAAAGTCCTGCGTGGTGAGCTGGTGAGTGTCGAAGTTCTTAGTGGGGAGTAAAACAGCACCTTGAGCAATAATAAAAATTAAAAATCCTTTAACATCTGCATTCTCTCATGTGAATATAAATTAAAATAAAGAAATAATAATAAAAAAAACCAACAACAATTAGAACTCTAAAGAAAAAAAACCACGATCCAATCGGATGCGTGGAAGTTGTTTAGGTCATCAAAGTTGGACATATGCGGCTCAAGTCTTGTTCTTGGTCAACTGTAGCCCGGGATGAACTGTATGTGGTGGGAGGGGCTGGCGGTAGAGGTCTGGTGCGGTGGGTTGTATTGAAAACATTCATAATTTATAATCGAAAGTGAAAATATCGAAAAAATAAATAATAAGTAAAAAGGGCCAGTGTCTCCAAGCTTTGCTGTTGGGAAAACAAAAAAAAAATGAAGTCAACGTTTAATGAAAGTTATTTCATGAAGCCTAATTTCTGTACATTAAAAAAAAAAAACATTATTTGAGGCCCGACCATACGAATTTTAAATCCATTCTCTGCGCTACATAAAATCAGTGTCTAGTACGAAGTCAGCTATCTATAAATAAATGAATTTAAAGAAGCGTACTGAACAAAAAATCAATAATTTTTTTTTTTTGATTAGCGGGCCAAACCACTACGGCAAAGACCTGGTTGTACACATATGGCGTGCAAAGAGAAAGGTTCACTTCCTTGATGAAATAATCATAGTTAACTATAAGTTTGAATTTAAAACACGTTAAAATATTAAAACTTAAGAAAAATGAACCTACGACGCTACCTGCTCTGAACAAATGCACCAGAAGTTCAAACAAAGACATGATGAACTTCTACTAGTAGCACACGTGATTGCAGGTAACTGCCTGTAGACTACGTGCCGTGGAATGTTTGCTGGTAAGAACCGACTTGGACCCAATGTCCCCAGAGAATGCTCTAATCTTAAAAAGGGCCTTTGCGATTGACACACCGTGAGTGTATACATTGGACATTGATTTAGGGGAGGGTGGAGGTGGGTCTGGTTTGAATGGGTCGATCGACTCCTAGGGGGGCTTTCATTTTTTAACTTATCAACTATTGGCATGTGGGCTTGATGTATTCTTTGAAAAGAGCAGCATATATCAACACCCTAGTCTTATCAGTGGTTCTATATGTGGGCGATTGCACCCCAAATGTTAGTTTTGTAACTACACATGCTTGTCATACAAATATATATATAAATATAATATATATATATATATATATATATACGTAAAAAATAAAATAAAACACTATATATAATATGTACTCTTGAACTAAATTTAGACTCTTCCCTGTTCGATCATAGCATTGACAATTAAACTACTGCAAGAGGAATGCATTTTAAGCAATTTTAAATGATTTTGTTTTTTATTTGTTAGTGCGTTTAAAATCGTCTTTGCTAGAAATTCTTTTCTAAAAAGTAATAGAAAAAAAAAATAAGAGTGACTCCGTTCTCGGAATAGCATTAACCCCCCCTCCCTCCCCATTTTGTTTTCCCTCGTTCATTTAAACAAACGTAGTAATTTTAAATGATTTTGTTTTTTATTTGTTAGTGAGTTTAAAATCGACTTTGCTAAAAATTCTTTTCTAAAAAGTAATAAAAAAAAAAAATAAGAGTGACTCCGTTCTCGGAATAGCATTAACCCCCCCCCCCTCCCCATTTTGTTTTCCCTCGTTCATTTAAACAAACGTAGCTTTGTTCGAGACTTATTAAAGCTGATGCGAACTCAAGAGAACCAAGAGAGTTCAGCTTTTGAGACTCTTTCACAATAATCGAGCCCCTAATTAAACAAAGAAACAACCTTGAGTTGGAGGTACTTATCTTTCTGGTTTTGCACTCAAATACACATAATTGTGTATTGTCGTGCGTCCTTGGCATGTGAAGATGACCAATGTGAAGGTCAATATTCGACTTGCGTTGATTTAAAACTGTAATTTTTGTTGTTGTTTTTGTTGCTTAAAGTGAGGGAGAGTCGCTCAATTCGACAGCCTCCCTCGCTCGTCCTCAATTGTTTGATCCAATAGCAAGACTTAGTCAGGATGACTTGCAATACAGACCAGGATGCAGTAGGTGACCACTTAGTCAGGACGACTTGCAATACAGACCAGGATGCAGTAGGTGACCACTTAGTCAGGACGACTTGCAATACAGACCAGGATGCAGTAGGTGACCAGAAGTGTTTTGTGGATTTTTTTTTTAATGGGCTCCTCACGCGTTCTACGTTGCAGGAGTTGATTTCGGAGTTCACCTTCTCTGAGACGAGTAGTGATCCTAGGTTTGCCAGTCCCACCAACCCGGATACAGAGAAGACAGACTGAACGATACAGAGAAGACAGACTGAACGATACAGAGAAGACAGACTTAAGGATACAGAGAAGACAGACTTAAGGATATGAAGAAGACAGACTTAAGGATATGGAGAAGACAGACTTAAGGATACGGAGAAGACAGACTTAAGGATACGGAGAAGACAGACTTACGGATACAGACAAGACAGACTGAAGGGCACTGAGAAGACCGACTTAAGGATACAGAGAAGACAGACTAAGGATACGGAGAAGACAGACTTAAGGATACAGACAAGACAGACTTAAGGATACGGAGAAGACAGACTTAAGGATATGGAGAAAACAGTCTTAAGAATACATACAAGACAGACTTAAGGATATGGAGAAAACAGTCTTAAGAATACATACAAGACAGACTTAAGGATATGGAGAAGCCAGATTTAAGAATACGGAGAAGACAGACTTACGGATACAGACAAGACAGACTGAAGGATACTGAGAAGACAGACTTAAGGATACAGAGAAGACAGACTAAGGATACGGAGAAGACAGACTTAAGGATACAGACAAGACAGACTTAAGGATGTGGAGAAGACAGACTTAAGTATACAGAGAAGATAGACTTAAGAATACAGACAAGCCAGACTTAAGGATACTGAGAAGACCGACTTAAGGATGTGGAGAAGACACACTTAAGTATACAGAGAAGACAGACTTAAGGATACAGACAAGCTAGACTTAAGAATACGGAGAAGTCAGACTTAAGGATACAGAAAAGACAGACTGAAGGATATAGACAAGCCAGACTTAAGGATACGGAGAAGATAGACTTAAGGATACGGAGAAGACAGACTTAAGGATATGGAGAAGACAGGCTTAAGGATACGGAGAAGACAGACTTAAGGATACAGACAAGACAGACTTAAGGACACAGACAGCCATACTTAAGGATACAGACAAGCCAGACTTAAGGATACGGACAAGACAGACTTAAGGATACAAACAAGACAGACTTAAGGATACGGAGAAGACAGACTTTAGGATACAGAAAAGACAGACTGGTATTTAAGCTATGCTAACAAACAAACTAAACAAGGATGGTTGTCTGTTAGCATGAATTCATAGTCAGATATACCTTTGAGTTTCAAATTCGATCTATTTGAGCTATACTTTTGAGCTCCCAATCTGAGCTATATGAGCTGTACGTGTGAGTTCCCAATTCCAGCTACGTGAGTTATACATTTATTGAGTTCCCAATGCGAGCTATGTGAACTATACCTTTGAGGTCCCAATCCGAACTATGTGAACTATACCTTTGAGTTTCCTATCCGAACTATGTGAACTATACCTTTGAGTTTCCTATCCGAACTATGTGAACTATACCTTTGAGTCCCGGCTCTAGATTAACCGCTCCCTACGATCTTATTCTAATTAATCATATCGACAGATAGCATCATATTTTATTCAAAAGCACGCGAGACGGCCACGCTCAGGTTTATTTCCCATCTTCCGGTGCCGATTTCTAAAGTCCCGGCACTTGTCTCGAGTGCGTCTCTATGACAGATCCAGGAAACCCCCCCCCCCCCCCCCCCCCCCCCAGTACTGACAGCAAATGGTTGGCCTCGGCTGACTTCCATTAAATGGTGCAACAAGACACGTGAGAACTCCTCCATCAAAGCCAAGGGTTGGCTGACGTCATCTAAGGGTGGTTCCGAACGGAAGTTCTAGAAACGGTGGAATACTTCTCGTTTAGTGGTATCCCTATTTCTGAACTTGTTCAAGCGAGGGTGATAAGAATACTATTTTAACGGAGTGGAGAAAACAGTGAGATAGCTGTAGCGTTTGTCATTTCGAAAGCGGTGAAACGTCACAAGTGCCCTACTTACGATTACTATTTTTAGAACGCTGCGCGATGTTTTATGCGTAAAAAAAAAATTGGCTGCTAACAAATGTATTTCAGAATATTTGTGGCAGTAAAAATTGGTACGTCTTTGTAAAAACCTTTAGTAAAACATAATTGTGAACCACTATTGTCCCACTGCACAGGCTTACACTAACGTACAACTACGGAACAGCTGTTGAGGGGTCGGCCAAACGGAATTCCACGAAATTCTATTAATGTACGTTGTAGCCTCCATTAAATGATATGGGCCAAATTGAATGTCCGGATGTTCTATTAATATATTTCCGTCATTACATGACGAACCCTATTGGAAGTGACTTTATTTACGCGCACTTCGTGTAAGTCCGGTTTACTTTTACCCGGGGGTCTGTTAAAACTTCGGGGGGGGGGGGGGGGAGGGGGAAGTGTACCCATGTTCCAGGATCATAGACATCAAGAGGTTGTCCTGTTTAACACTTATCTCAACAGAACTCTCTCAGCTATAGGTTTTGTTTGCAGATATCTCATAATATCTGCAGGGGCTACTCACAAGCCTGTTTGTAACTTTTTGCATATTTCACCTGATCCGAGAAGAAAAAAAAAATTGTTTTTGACAAGAATATTTACCCTTGTCCTGAAAATGATCATGTACGAGGCAATCGAGTAACATTTCCATTTCTTTGGATCATTTACAAAAAGAATCTCATCGAAGAGGCCGTCAGATTGAGTTTCCCCACGTGATATACGTTGACAAGTTCGTGGGTCGTGATCTCATTAAAACTTTAACACAAGTCCTATTACAAGATAATAAATGAAGGATTGCGTTCAAGCCGTGTGAGAGAAATAGTGGAGCAAGGTGTGTGGAAGATTGAAATAGAGAGACAGGACAATAAGGGAAGAACGTTTCGGCTAAGAGCCTTCCTCGGCAGACAGGACACATGAAAATGCGGCACGAAATAGAAACTAGTAAAAAAAACTTGAGTTTTCGCCCTTTGTTATTGTCAAGTTTTTAACTCGTTTTTATTTCGTGTCGTATTTTTACGTGCCCTGGCTGCTGACGAAGGCTCTTAGCCGAAACGTTCTTCTCTTACTGATCTGTCTTACGATTCAAGCGTCCACGTGACCTGTTCTACTATTTCTTACGCTAAGAATTACGAAAACGTTAATCTAAGTTTATCTATCATCTCGCCCTACAACGATTCAAAGATGGAGCGCAGTTCGCCAGAAGACAACACTCAGAACCAGACACTTACTGCCAGACCAAAAGCTTTGTCCTAAATCTATTTAGAAAATAAACACATAGTTTATGACAAGAGAGAAAGAAACATTCGAAAAAAAATGTAGAGTAAAAATCATAGAATGTATTTTTAAAAAAAATCTTATTTAAAGGGACATATTTCTATCCCAACATCAGAAATATTTAAAAATCTGTTTTATTTGATTTAATACGATCATCGTGTCTACCCTACAACGGTGGAAGACGGACAACGCTGTATGCCTGGGTTGTTGGCCGGGTTGCTGTTGGCGTACACGTGGGACAGAATGCTGAAGAGGGCGGGATCTTTTTGGCGGAGGTGCTCCCGGATCTGGGCCACATCGGGGCAGACCAGCGTCCCGCACTTGTTCATGCCGGCCGTGTTGCTGTTGGAGTCGTGGTCCACACCGAAGAAGGACGTGGAGGCCACGGCCCAGTACTCGTGGTCGTTGGCCATGGCGTAGGTGTTGAGCTGCCAGGTGGCGTGCTGCTTGGCCGCGTTGTACGCGTTGGTGATCTGGGTTTTGATGGCGGCCGTCGTCGCGTAGGTGTGGACCAGGTGGGCGAACTCGTGGACCATGATGTTGACCGAGCGGTGGTGGGGGTCGGCCGCCGAGCACAGGACGTTGTCGTCGAGGACCACGGACCTGGAGTTGGTCAGACCACCGATGTTCTCCCACTTCCGGCCGTCGAATGTGCAGGTGTGGGCGCAAGTACCTGGTAGAAGATCAGTTTCATATGGGTAATATTGATTTTTTAGACACTTATTTTGAAAATGTGAAAGATAAACTAAGAACAAAAAAATATAAGGGACTGACAAAATTTTCATGATGAAACCATAGTTAAGAAGTGTAAAATAAAAGAAATATTTAAGTAAACGTACAAATCAGGTAAAAAACAACATCAATATATGTATATCTATAAATTTAATAGCATTTGATATAGATGTTCGTTCTTTTCATAAATGTTGTAATTTTTTTTCCTCGACAGTTCAGATCTACTTTAGTAGTTATTTTTAGTTTGGTGAGTAGCTTTGGCCTGAAGAAATTAATAATATCTTTTCACAGTTCCCGCTAGCCAGTCCCATAAGTTTATTTATGCCACTCACCTGTACAGGTAGTACCACAGTTCACAAAAATCAGTCCCAAATGTTCACGTCACTCACCTGTGCAGGAGGTACCACAGTTCCCGTTCGCCAGTCCAGCATTTTCTGGGAATATGGTCACCTTCTCGGCGGCCGTGAAGATGCCAACCTTCCCCCTGGTCAGCGTCTGGAACATGCTGGCCGGCATGAACCTGGTCATCTTCTGGATCACGCCCGCCGCCACGTCCAGCGCGTGCTGGGAGCACTTGGGCGAGCCCGCGATCTCCAGCTGGAGGTGACTCGTGTTCAGCCTGGGGGTCAGCTGGTGGTTGGCGGCATCCAGGTAGATGTACTTGAACCCGGGCAGCTGGGCGCCTGCCCTGAGCTTCGGCAGGGTTTGAAGGAACTGAAAGTCTTCATTGGAAAGAAAGTGGTTTGGGACGCCAGTGTTCAGGGCGGGCAGAGCAGCTGCACCTGGGGAGAAAATATCATCATAACAATCTGACGTCAAGAAGTTTTAAAAAAAAAATAGCTTTTTTGCTCCTTTAAAATATAAATATTAAAAATTATAGATTTATTTATTTCTCACTATTTGATATTAAAAAAAAAAATAACTTACGGGCATAATTATGGGAATGGTCACATACAAATATAAGGATTACTTTAGTAATCCACCTAATTAATAATCATTGAAAGTTCCTAAAAACTAGAAGAAATAGAGCAAGGTCTGTTGAAGCTTGGACCAAAAGACAGGACAATAATGAAAGTAAAAGTTAGAGCCACCTTAACCAAGGGGAAATTATGAAGATAACTGGTGTATTTCTTAAATTAATGATTGAATCCCTTTGAAATGATAGGGTCCCTACCGTTATGTAATGTTTTCCCCGATTTAAACAAAAATCTATCCATTAAACAAAAATCACCCTCAAGCTATTTATATCGGATATTAAAATGCCATAGATATGTCATATGTATGTCATAGATATGTCGTACATATGTCATATATAATAATATGTCTTAGATATGTCATATGTATGTCATAGATATGTCATACATGTGCCATCTATATATATAAACGTCATAAATATGTCTTAGATATGTCATATGTATGTCATAAATATGTCGTACATATGTCATATATAATAATATGTCTTAGATATGTCATATGTATGTCATAGATATGTCGTACATGTGCCATCTATATATATTTAAACGTCATAAATATGTCTTAGATATGTCATATGTATGTCATAGATATGTCGTACATGTGCCATCTATATATATAAACGTCATAAATATGTCTTAGATATGTCATTTGTATGTCATAGATATGTCGTACATGTGCCATCTATATATATAAACGTCATAAATATGTCTTAGATATGTCATATGTATGTCATAGATATGTCGTACATGTGCCATCTATATATATTTAAACGTCATAAATATGTCTTAGATATGTCATATGTATGTCATAGATATGTCGTACATGTGCCATCTATATATATAAACGTCATAAATATGTCTTAGATATGTCATTTGTATGTCATAGATATGTCGTACATGTGCCATCTATATATATAAACGTCATAAATATGTCTTAGATATGTCATATGTATGTCATAGATATGTCGTACATGTGCCATATATATATATAAACGTCATAAATATGTCATATGTATGTCATAGATATGTCGTACATGTGCCACATATATATATATATATATATATATATAAACGTCATAAATATGTCATAGATTTGTCAAGTAACATGGCTTTTTTGGTCAAGCTGGAAAAAAAAGGTGAAAAATCTTTTGCGAGCGTCTACAGAGAAAACATTGATCATAATCCACTACAGGAAAAATAAAAGCTTAGACACAGAACCCAGTCAATAATGTTACAATCAGACTTTGATCTTTGTTTAAAATAACCTCAATTCTCTATAGTGTTAACTGTACCTACTGTTTAAAAAAAACAAAAAAAACCTCAATTATCTATAGCAGGCCTGCACAACTCAAAATGTAAGCTGGGCCCTAATACTTTATGAAAAGCTTGTGCAGGCCGAAAGATGATAGGACAGGGGCGAAAGCTATTAATACAATAATAATAATAAATATTATTTAGTTACTTCGCGGGCCACCAAGTGGGTGCTGGCGGGCCGCAAGTGGCCCGCGGGCCGTATGTTGTGCAGGCCTGCTATATAGTGTTAACTGTACCTGCTGTTTGTTAAAAAAAAAAAACCCTCAATTCTCTACAGTGATAAATGTACCTGCTGCTGCGAGAAACAGTAAGAATATCGACATGGCCAGAGTGCCCCGCAGAAACGGAAACGGCTGATCCAGGAGCTGGGCTTGATAAAAATGTATCGGGATTTGAACTTAACTTTCAAACTTAAGATAAGATTATTTTGTTAACAAAACAGGTTACAGTATCCGACCAGATAGTGCCATTAAGTCACGAAGCGAATGTCAATCAAAAAAAGAAAAAAAAAGCTTGATTGATAAGACAGTGTCTGATGGGAGAAAATGGAATGGTGTCAGAGAGCGCGTACACAATCAAACTATATTTTTATACTTGGAATAACAAACACGAGCACTGTGAGATTAGAGCAGCGTTTCTCAACCTGTGGGTCGCGACCCCTTTGGGGGGGGGGTCAAAGGACCCTTACACAGATTTCGCCTAAGACCATCGGAAAACACATAGGTATGAAGAAGCGACGAAAATAATTTTTATGGTTGGGGGTCGCCACAACAAGCGGAACTGTATTAAAGGGTCGTGGCATTAGGAATGTTTGAAAACCACTGGATTAGGGGACAACTCAGAGCCATTGTAGTCTATGGAATATAAAAACATGTGTGGATTAACACACACGCCCACTATAGCAAGCCCACTTTAGAAAGCCCACTATAGCATGCCCAATACATTATATATTTCTTACTTAACGAGGCTACCAACTTAAAGGTTAAACGTCAAGGGAGACAAACCCAGCAGAAAAAACCAACCAGACATGGAGTCCTGTAGTTGGGTTGAAATGGATTCAATGAATACCCGGGCTACTCTATCGACGCCCCTGGTGTCAAGCTGTATCCTCCACAGGATCCCCCCCCCCACACTCCCCAGCTGACCAGCCGTGTGGAGATAGGTGTCGGGGAACAGCTAAATCACGAGAACTCATGCCCACGGCCATGTGATTTCATCCAAAGAAGACCCTACCGTGGTGTCTCATTGAGACGGACGGATTTCAAAATACAAACCACCCACAAAAAGCCTCCATCTAAAAAACAAACGATATATGTAGGGATATAGATGGCAATCGAATGCTCACTACCTAAAGACATACGAAGATATAGATATATCAGCCTCACACACTCACTACCTAGAGACATAAGTAGATATAGATATATCGGCCTCACACACTCACTACCTAGAGACATAAGTAGATATAGATATCGCCAGCACACACTCACGACCTAGAAACAAAACGTCAAGGACACAATATTTACCTCACACAAACTATGCACATCACATTTTGTCGCAGTGTATTTAGACCACACACACGTATTCATTTGAATTCACTAGCAAACTTTCATATTGGTGACACACAGTCGTATATAAATGTGTTTGAGCGCCTTTTATTACTGCTTGGATTAATTTTGTTGTTGTTGATTTTTTTTTTTTCGTGTTGTAGTTAAAGTTAAGATATGATATTAAAATAATGAAAAGTGTTTCAGGAAATAAATCCTGTACAGAACGTTTATACAAAATCATGGAGTGATGCAGTAATATTATCAGCCATACAATAAGGCCGTGTTTGAGAGTTTATCCTCGATATTAACCAAAAACAAATAGTTTTTTTTGGCCACTTGTATTGAGCGAGAAGTGACAAAAATAAAAGTAACATTCTCCATGTTGTATGTACGACATAAAAACACTATGCGCAAATAACCAAAGCCGCCCAGTTGGAAGTGTAGCCATAAGTGTGTCAAATGGATGTTTAAAAATTATTTTAAAAGAAAAGGTTTCTGGCGTGACATTAAAGAACAGGCGCTACAGAGCAGAGAATCTGAGTGGCAAAAAACTGTTTACAGAACAGAGAATCCCTTGTCAGCAGACACACCCCGGACCACTTTCCAGTCAACTGTTGGACCCAATCGTCTCATGAAGTTTGACATCTACACTATAGCAGACGTGTGGGAAGCACACACCTAGATTGAACCTTCAAATGTTAGAAAGGAAGCAGCAGGCCCTGAGACGGTAGAAAGGTGAGGACAACTTGACCAACACCCAAATAAACATACGGTTGACCAAAGGAAATCGATGTCTTCTGGGGATGTCTTCTGAGGATGTCTTCTGAGGATGTCTTCTGAGGATGTCTTCTGGGGATGTCTTCTAAATTCGGATCCATGACTTTTAGTTTTACTATTAAAATGTTGAAAACAGTTGCGGCGAAAACCAATTACCCTGTCTTTGATGTCTTTGATATCTCGTAGATAATCATTTGTCCTTAGAACCATTATTTTTTATTTTAGGGAATGATGAACAGAGCATGTTCTTACTTGTAGGTATTTTTCAAACATTGCCTAAAGAACAGGTCATTATATTTCGTCTTAGCACATCCAGCATCGAGCTAAACTTGCACAGAATACCAGTTTGCCCCTCACTGCCAACATCACGGTGGGACTGTACCACATCACCTCTTTCACTGGCCAGCAGCTCGGGGCTTGAACCTCAATATCTCACCACAATGACCAGCCTGCAGCAGCACCCCATACCCTGCAGCAGCACCCCATAATCCTGCAGCAGCACCCCATAATCCTTCAGCAGCACCCCATACCCTGCAGCCCCCCCCCATACCCCGCAACAGCACCCCATATCCTGCACCAGCACCCCATTGCAGCAGCACCCTATATCCTGCAGCCGCACGCCATCTCCCGCAGTGGCACCCCATCTCCCGCAGCAGCACCCCATAGCCTGCAGCAGCACCCCATATCCTGCAGCAGCACCCCATATCCTGCAGCAGCACCCCTTATGGAGACAAGCATCAACCAAGGAGGGATTTACACAGTGTTAAACAATTCGTCAGGCCGAAAGGCACAGTCTCAAATGGACTACCATTTCATAATCGTCCTTATCTTGTAATATGTGAAGGAAAGTGGGAAAGAGATAAGGTCAAAGGAGATGGTTAGAGACAAAGAGATCGAGACTCGAAGTCATTTTTAATGAAAAGGTCATTGATAAAAACACGTCATTTATAATGAAAATGGGCGTTTATAAATAAAAAAAAAATAAGGCATTGCTAATGAAATCAAGTCATTTTTCATGAAAATGGTCATTTAAAAAAGTCATTTGTAAAAGCTGATGTTGTTTAAATGACAGCGTCACAAAGTCTTCAGACGTGACATTAGACTTGATGATTGTTCCTTTCGTCCCCAGAGACCAGGTCATTGTAACACGCGGGCAAGTAGACCCGTAAACCTGCTAGTTGTGTGTAGTGTTTGGGGCGGGGCGGGGGGCGGGGGGGGGGGCGGGGGCGGGGGGTGCTTGCCTTGAGTTGCTTGCTTCAAACTGTGGCTTCAAATAAAAACAAATATTTGCTAGGATTGACAAAGAAAGACAACAAAAATGTAACATCTGCAATCGCACATGCAACAACCACACACACACGAACTCGATGAACTAAAGATATCGCAAGCTGTTTTTTTATTGATTTTTCCTGATTTTCCACCTGCAATAGTAGTGAACTGTGGATATTTCTTATGAATACAAACTGAACGCAGTCCATGTCCGTGTTTTGTCGAACGCAGACCACGCCCGTGTTATGTCGAACGCAGTCCACGCCCGTGTTTTGTCGAACGCAGTCCACGCCCGTGTTTTGTCGAACGCAGTCCACGCCCGTGTTTTGTCG